CAAGAGAGTAGATGTAGATGTGACCGAACGCTGCACTGATTGCGAATTTGCCCAACAGGGCTACTGCAGCTCTGGCAGCTCCAAGAGGAATGAAGATTGTAATGAGGCAAAACACTCCACCAAAGATGTAGAAGGCAACTAGGGTAATGCGTCTGCCAAAACGGTCCATCATATACCAACAGAAAAGATAGCTGGGTATCTCTATGGCACCAGACACAAAGGCAGCAAGGTAATCATCTACCCCCAAGGCAGAGGTACTCAGAGATAGTCCGTAATATACCATGTTGACAACAAACCAGTCAACCCAAAGGATGAGAGTTTTCTTGCGGAGGTTGGGAGTGCGGATCAGATCAAGTTGGGTGACAGGGATGCGAGAAGACTGCTTCTTGTCTTCTTTGCTTTCTTCACTCAGTTTATCCAGTAAGTCTTCTGGAGCCTCGATACCATTCACTTTAGCTATCTTTTCAATGATTTTGGTAGCTTCTTTGTATCTGCCTTTTGTTATCAGCCAGCGAGGAGATTCAGGGAACACAATGATCACAAGAAAAGTGAGGACGAAGGGGAGTGATATAGCTAACTGTAGGTGGCGCCATTCTCTCAGAAGGAATGCCAGAAGGGACAGAATCATGTAACCTACAGCAAAGGCTAGAAATAGCACAGTTGTTGCACCTACACGATTTTTAGGACCAACTATTTCAGAAACTAAGACATATATCATGAGATATTCACCATAAGTACTGGCTGCTGTAAAGAAGCGCATGGCAGCGTAGGCAGTAAAGTTGGGCACAAAAGATGTAACAGTCGATGAAATTGTGACAAGAATGACAGTTAAAATAAAGGTATTTCTCCTACCAATCCAGTCGCCCACATAACCCCACACCAAGGAACCAACCAGCAATCCCGCAAACCAAACTGACTGGGCATAGGCAGGTAGATCCTGTCTGTCACAGACCAAGCTGAAATCTTCATTGATGGTGGACTTGTAGCGTGAGTGATCAAATTCCCAGCCAGCATCGCAGGAGATGACGTCCGTTGAATTAAAACTCATGTTTCTACCAACGTCTTCATCATTCATGACATACCGCTCACACGAGGAATAGACTTTGTTTCCATCATCATCAATCTCATAGGGAATACTGTAGCTCCTCTGCTCTTCCTGACACTCAGCCAGCTGGAGTTGGCTGCAGTTGATCATCTGGCTGGCTGGTACTGCACACCAGTGATCGGTGTTAGCAGCCAGGAACACCTGCCCTATGAAGTGAAAGGGAGGTGGAATAAAAACCAAAAACAAGGCAAACACCAGCAGTTTCTGGTACTTGCCAAAAGGCCCGATATGATTCAAAATGTCCTCGTAATGCATGTTGAATTCTTCAGTACTTGATCAGTGTGTCAGCATGAAAAGTTTGAGCTGAGCTGATGCATGCGGAAGGATGTGTTAATTTCCTCAGGCAAAATGAACTACTGCCCTTTTAACCCATGAATCCAATCTGTGAATAGGACCTGTGCATTGCTCAAGCAGAGTATGTGTATTGTTGTCACCCCATCAAGCATAAAGGCTGTGCTTTATGTACAGTAGTCTATGAAAGCATTGAAAGCACAAAGAATATATCAATACACATATTTAACCACTTTTGTGATCTCTTACAGAGCTAGGCTTTTTGTGTCACTCAATTCTGTATAGGACTGTATGCGCGTATGGCCGTGTTCAGGTTTTTCAAATTACTTTCATTCCCAAGTATCTGACTGAATTCCAGAAAACTTGGACGCAAGGGTCACTGAGTGTCGAAGATGATGTGGGGTATTTTTCAGGGGGAAGGTCGTGTGTCAAAGGTCAGCTGAGGTCAATAATTGATTAATTCATAGAAGTTTTAGGTTGAGTTTTTGAAGAACCTTTGTAACATTGTACATGCTGTGTTGGATTCCGATAAAACTTTGAAGCAGTGAGCCTTGGGTGGCAAGAGACAATTCTTCTCTGGGAGGTTGAGGTCAGAGGTCATGTAGGGGACATTAGAGATCATTGTTGTTTTCTTGCATCCTCGCTGCGATTGTGAAATTAATTTAATATTTTTGGTCGCCGTAAAGTCTCCTAGGGAGCGCATATAATGTGACAGGCCCTTTTGTTCTTAAGACAAAAACACTAAGCAGGTATTGACAAAAGGCAAGATTGAGCACTCAAGACGTGCTCTGGCAAGCTAGATGGAACGCAGTGTGTTGCTTTCTGAAGTTCAAGTGAGGAAAATTTGATCGTACAGTCGTTTTCCCATTCCGGATAGCAAACATCATTCAAGCTGTTTTCGGCTCAACTGATTCACAAATTCAAGTAACATTGATTAAAAAGTTTGCCTTGAGTGATGGAGATACTACAAAATATTTTTTCAAATTCAAGCTGTTTTAATTTTTACTTTGCGACGTCAAAAGTACAGATGCCACTTTTCCTATTTCTGGATCAGTTCAATCAGTTCTGAATCGATCAAAAACTGCTTTGCTCGAGAAAACAAAATCACGCAAGAGAATTCCAGCAAAAATTGAAGAGAATTAATGTAAATGATTTTTTAACTTTTGTCTGCAGCGCGACGGCCCGAACATGCACCGACCGTAACCTTTGACCCATCACAGAATACGTCACATAAAATCAATTACTGCGCGTGTAGTTCCTACTTGCACGTGCGATCCGGAACTAGGCAAAAACATACCGTCATTCATTGGCAAATTTTCAAATATTAGAGACTCTACAACTTATTTGATTCAACAAACATTCGATGCAAGAGTTTATACGACTGCAGAGTACGAACAAAATATTCGAAATCACACGGTACGAGTGTTGTGCCAAGGAGATTTTTTTTGTGTGGCTTTTCCGCAACTTTGCGGACAAGCCTGTATTTTTTTACATAACCAAATGACGTATCCACCTTCAAAATGTGTCGTACCATGTGGGAATTGCAATCATGGGGCCAAAAGGCAAGATGACCATTTTTTTGGTAAGAGACCAGTTGCATGTATAGGAACTGTGATGATTGTGTTATACAATTTGTCTTGCTGCACCGATGGTTTATTTACAAATACATGTACCTGTATAGGCCCTATTCATTGAAATCGAAACTAGACTGAAATTAAAACCAAGGACATTTCTGTAAAATGTTTGGGCAATTACATTATGCATGCATGAGATTAGTCATGAAATAAATCTGAGCTGTGAATTTACAATGTGCATGGAGGCCTAATTGCTCCTCTGTTTTAATTTGATTAAATTACACTAATTTGAAAGTTGAATTCAATTTACATGTTCAAGCAGTTTGTTCTTATTGATAAACTGAAAATTTCTACTTGAAACACAACATTAGAAAGCAAAGCATCCTTGCAACAGTTTACAAAGTCTATAGAATTGCTTTTCAAAAATAAAATGCACGAAAATAATTATGCAGACGAAAATACATGGTTATCAAGTGAGATACAGAAGAAACTTAAAAGGCTTGTAAAAGCAAGAGTATTTTTAAACCAATAAAAAAAATCTCATAATCTTGAAACATTTTGCTCAAATAAATCAGGGAAAGAGGGGCCAGGAATCGCTCAGATTTCACCACAGAGCATTTAGAATCCAAAGTTTCCTGGGGCCCTTAAGCAGGCCCCGGACCACACAACGTATGACATTCGCGCTCCGCTTTAGTCCTCGAGGCAGATGTCCCTTCGCATTGTTGCAACAGTTGACAAACTAACTCTATATAATTCACTTTCAAAAATGAAATGCAAGAACATAATTATGCAGACGAAAATACATGGTTATCAAGTGAAGAACCGATGAAACTTAAAAGACATACAAAAGCAAGAGTATATTTTAAACCAATTAAAATTTCGTTATAATCTTAAAAATTTTGCTCAAATAACTTGGGGCTAAGGGAAAAGGGGCCAGGAATCGCCTGAGATTGCACCACAGAGCATCTAGAATCCAAATATTCTGGGGCCCTTCAGTGGGCCTGGACCCCACACCGTAAGACATTTGTGATATGCGCTCGCATATAGTCCTCAGAGCAAATGCCCCAACGCATCGCTGCAACAGTTTACAAACTAAGTCAATACAATTCCTTTACCAAAAATAAAATGCAAGAAAATATGAAGACGAAAATACATGGTTTTCAACTTTGAAGTACGTACACCAGTAACTTACAATTTGTAAAGCAAGAGTATATTTAAAACAATCCTTATGATCTAATAAAATTTTGCTCAAATAATTCAGGGGAAAGGGGCCAGGAATCACCTCAGATTGCAGCACAGATCATCTAGAATCCAAAATTTTTCGGGGTTCTTAAGCGGGCCCCAGACCCAGTGCCGTAAGGGCTTCGCGCCCCGCGCTCACATTAGTTGCTCCAAAGGTGTGCCCCCTGTCTAAAGAAATCCTGGATCCGCACCTGTATTCAGACATCCACAGGTTGCTTGGGAGTTTGATCCATTGTGGATAGTGGCAGGTAGTCGATAGGAGCTTGAGTGGGACTCTCATTCTCTCCATCATCATTGCCCTTGACGCAAAGCTGGAAGCTTCTTCCCTCTGTTATACCAGAAAGTAAACAAGAAAAATGTGCTGTAGTTGAAAAATTGTAGCACATTAAGGAACTGTGGCACATTTTTTTTTTATGGACAATGATCAACTCGCACATGTTATTCCAACCAAAAAAAACCTCTTCTCCAAACCTCTGAAAGTGTTTTGTTTTGTTTCGGGCACAGACAGATCCACTTGGAAAGCAGACTGGCTCGCGGTCTGCACATATATTGATTGATACTGATTGTGGGGCGGGAACCAGTGATAATTCAGTAACTAATTATATTGGCTGATCTTTTGGGGGTCAATTTCTCATTCACAAGTGAATAACTTTTGAAGTGCTCGAAAAATAGCAATTTAGAAAAGGAATCTATTATTCGGGATGAAATAGCATGGGAATGCCACTTTCAAACCTCAGCCCAAGCAAACGATGAAAAAAAGTGATAGGAGAGTAAATGATTGTAAAACTTACTGCCAAAGTTCTCTCCATCCTGAATGGTATCAGGCAGACTGTATCCCATGGTCTCTGGGAGTATCAGAGACAGGACTCCAGCAATGATGGCGCTTCCTCCAAAGACACAGAGACGTAGTGGTTTCCAGTACTTGCCCAGGATCAAGATGATAGGACAGAGGATGCCACTAACACGAGCCATCATGGAAGATGTACCCATGCCGATACTCCGGATGATGGTTGGATAGATTTCAAGAGAGTAGATGTAGATGTGACCGAATGCTGCACTGATTGCAAATTTGCCGAACATGTCAACTGCAGCTCTGGCAGCTCCAAGAGGAATGAAGATTGTAATGAGGCAAAACACTCCACCAAAGATGTAGAAGGCAACCAGGGTAATGCGTCTGCCAAAACGGTCCATCACGTACCAACAGAAAAGATAGCTAGGTATCTCTATGGCTCCAGAGACAAAGGCAGCAAGGTAATCATCTACCCCCAAGGCAGAGGTACTCAGAGATAGTCCGTAATACACCATGTTGACAACAAACCAGTCAACCCAAAGGATGAGAGTTTTCTTGCGGAGGTTGGGAGTGCGGATCAGATCAAGTTGGGTGACAGGGATGCAAGAAGGTTGCTTCTTGTCTTCGTTGCTGTCTTCACTCAGTTTGTCCAGTAAGTCTTCTGGAGCCTCGGTACCATTCACTTGAGCTATCTTTTCAATGATTTTGGTAGCTTCTTTGTATCTGCCTTTTGTTATCAGCCAGCGAGGAGATTCAGGGAACACAATGATCACAAGAAAAGTCAGGACGAAAGGGAGTGATATAGCTAACTGTAGGAGGCGCCAGTCTCTCAGAAGGAATGCCAGAAGGGACAGAATCATGTAACCTACAGCAAAGGCTAGAAATAGCACAGTTGTTGTACCTACACGATTTTTAGGACCAACTATTTCAGAAGCTAAGACATATATCATGAGATTTCCACCATAAGCACAGGCTGCTGTAAAGAAGCGCATGGCAGCGTAGGCAGTAAAGTTGGGCACAAAAGATGTAACAGTCGATGAAATTGTGACAAGAATGACATTTAAAATAAAGGTCTTTCTCCTACCAATCCAGTCACCCACAGAACCCCACACCAAGGAACCAACTAGCAGTCCTGCAAACCAAACTGACTGGGCATAGGCAGGTAGATCCTGTCTGTCACAGACCAAGCTGAAATCTTCATTAATGGTAGACTTGTAGCTCGAGTGATCAAATTCTTAGCCAGCATCGCAGGAGACGACGTCCGTTGAATTAAAACCTGTGTTTCTACCAACGTCTTCATCATTCATGGCATACCGCTCACACGAGGAGTAGACTTTGTTTCCATCATCATCAATCTCATAGGGAATACTGTAGCTCTTCTGCTCTTCCTGACACTCTGCCAGCTGGAGTTGGCTGCAGTTGATCATCTGGCTGGCTGGTACTGCACACCAGTGATCGGTGTTAGCAGCCAGGAACACTGCCCTATGGAGTGAAATGCGGTTGGAATCTTAACCGTAAACAAGGCAAACACCAGCAGTTTCTGGTACTTGCCAAAAGGCCCGATATGATTCAAAATGTCCTCGTAATGCATGTTGAATTCTTCAGTACTTGACCAATGTGTTGGCAAGAGTCGTGCATTAAAAGTGAGAGCTGAGCCGTTGCATTTGGAGGGGTGTTTTTCCTTTAAAGTCTAAACCAACTACAGTTACCGTTACCTTTTGAATGCAATCTGTGTATAGGACCTGTATGGCATTGTTGAACCAGAGTATATTGTTGTCTGGGTATTAGGCCTATATCTCTCAAGCATAAAAGGCTGTGGTCATTTGAAGGACAAATGTACATAAAATCTGGGTTGACTTTCTATATTATTTGTCTGTGCAGGATGAGTGTGCTAACATCTTTTGTGACCTCCTACAGAGCTGTAGGGGAAAAAGGTCATGTAGGGGAAAAATGCGACACAAGTGTTCTGGGTATCACTTGTAGTTCATGCATTCATTCAATGGAGAAAACAACTTTTTTTTGGCAGAAAAATTGTGATAAATTTGTTTTTAATAATAATAATTGAAAACGTACAGGCTTTTAACTCCCACCAATAAAACCTGCTAAAATTCAATTTTTTTTCCCAGTGTTTGCAACAGATTTTTTTAGCAGCAACATATTAGTAAATTCTGTAAAAATATATATCAAGTATATTGAGTGACAATTCAAAAATAACTTTTTTTTGAATATCACTTTCTCAGTTCGTCAAATAATTTATTCAATCATTTTCAAACTACCCATATTCACAACCGTCAGGTTCACATTAACTAAAAAAAAGAAAACAGCCCCCCCCCCATGAAACCTTGTCGCTGAGATTTTGAGTTTCTAAAAAATTATCATTGTTCTACATGACGCCATGGGCGTCAATCCTGGGGGGACAGGGGGACTGGTCCCCCCCCCCCCCCACTTTTTGAAGGGTGGGGGCACAATATCAAATGTCCCCCCCCCCCCCAGATTTTTGAACTCGTGTCTCATTTACAGGGCCCTATTATGTACTACAGTGTATCTTTTGCTTAGAAAATATTGGTTAAAGTGGTCAGAAATTGCCTCAGATAGCACCACAGAGCATTTAGGATCCAAAATTTGTCGGGGCCCTTAAGCGGGCCCCGAACCCCACGCCTATAGCTCAGAATTCTGGTAGCTGATTCAATGACTCCAACCTCGAAAACAATGTTCAAAAAATTTTCTTATGCCTTTAGCTGAGAAAACCTCGAAAATTATGTTTAAATTATTATCTTTTGTGCTAAGATAATTTTTGGTTAAAGTGGTAAGAAATTGCCTCAAATCACACCACAGAGCATCGAGAATCCAATTTTTTTCGGGGCCCTTAAGCGGGCCCCGAACCCCACGCCTATAGCTCAGAATACCGATGGCTGATTCAATGACTCCAACCTCGAATACGATGTTCAAATAATTATCTTTTGCTAAGAAGATATTAGTTAAAGCATGGAGGAAAGTGGTAAGAAATTGCTTCAGATCACACCACAGAACATCTAGAATCCAATTTTTTTGGGGCCCTTAAGCGGGCCCCGACCCCCACGCCATACGGGCTTAACGCTTCGCGCTCGCATCAGTTCTGATCAAGGTATGGCCCCCCCCCCCACTTTTGAGAAGCGATTAACGCCCCTATATGACGCCCCCCCCCCCATGAAATGTTCCAGCCCCCCCCCCCCTGAAAAATTCCTAGCTACGCCACTGTATGAAAGATATTTCCATGCTTTATCGGTTACCCGAAAAATCTGAATTTGACTTTTACCATTTTTTGTCCTACTACACAGGCCCCTCGCCAAGGGGTGGCCTAGTGGGGCTGGGCCCCCCTTGGTGAGCACTCCCCCCCCCCCCCCCCCACCACCACGGCAAAAGTCATACATAAATGTATTTTGTATTTTTTATGGTAGTGGGCCCCCTTATTTGATACAATGGCCCCCCTGAAGCTAACCAAGATGGTTAGTGACCTCTATATTTTCCTTCTAAAAATATCCTCCTAGCCAAGATGATTAGTCACCTCCATATTTTCCCTTCTAAAAAATATCCTCCTAGCCAAGATGGTTAGTCACCTCCATATTTCCCTTCTAAAAAAATCCTCCTAGCCAAGATGGTTAGTCACCTCCATATTTCCCTTCTAAAAAATATCCTCCTAGCCAAGATGGTTAGTCACCTCCATATTTCCCTTCGAAAAAATCCTCCTAGCCAAGATGGTTAGTCACCTCCATAATTTCCTTTTTTAAAAATATTCTCCTAGCCAAGATAGTTAGTCAACTCTATATTTCCCTTCTAAAAAAATATCCTCATAGCCAAGATGGTAAGTCACCTCAATATTTCCCTTCTAAATAACATATCCTCCTTTAATACCAAGATGATTAGTTACCTCCATATTTTCCCTTCTAAAAAATATCCTCCTAGCCAAGATGGTTAGTCACCTCCATATTTCCCTTCTAAAAATATTCTCCTAGCCAAGATGGTTAGTCACCTCCATAATTCCCTTCTAAAAAAAAATCGCCCTAGCCAAGATGATTAGTCACCTCAATATTTCCCTTCTAAAATATTCTCCTAGTCAAGATGGTTAGTCACCTCCATATTTCCCTTCTAAAAAATATCCTCCTAGCCAAGATGATAAGTCACCTCAATATTTCCCTTCTAAAAAATATCCTACTAGCCAAGATGGTTAGTCACCTCCACAGTTCCCTTCTAAAAAATATCCTCCTAGCAAAGAGGATTGATCACCTCCATAATTCCCTTCTAAAAATATCCTCCTAGCCAAGATGGTTAGTCACCTCCATATTTCCCTTGTAAAAAATCCTCCTAGCCAAGATGGTTAGTCACCTCCATATGTCCCTCCCAAAAAATATCCTCCTAGCCAAGATGGTTAGTCACCT